CTTACTGATGGACGTCAGGATGGGTTTCTTTCTCCATTTCTCAAGTGTAAGTACGTGCGATTAAAGTTGTTGCCTCGTTGACTCTAGCTTGCAAATGTATTTAGTTGTGATTTGTTTCTTGTAACCGCGTGTACTGTATCAGGTTAACTCGGTATATTCTCTTATCGCGTTACCAGAGGTGTGTGTGTGTTTTTGTGTGTGTGTGCGCGGACGAGGGCAATGTGTGTGTGTGTGTGTGTGTTTGTGTCTGTGAAAAGAGCAGAGTGAGACAAGCTATGAGATCTCCTTGACAGTTTTTGCTCAATAAAATAGTTAGTCGTCTGAATTTTTAAGTCCATAGTCTGTATTTACATTGACCCACTAGCAGCTAAAATCCACGCCTACACTATCGAGCGTGTATGAACTGTGATTACTTTTAGATTGCTGATTAGCTGTTGGGCATTTCACTCTCTGACTGAAGGCAGTCGACCAATCGCAACAGACTGTCATCGGTCCAATCAGCGCAGATTAGCTTCGCGCTAAGGAGGGGTTTGGGAACAAATGAATCACTGGACGATTCATACGGGAGTCGCTGGAATAGTTAGGTAAAAATAAATGCAGATTATAAGACCATGAAAGTGTTTTTGACCTTGCAAGCATATTAAACTGTTGTTGGAGACCCTTACAACCAAGATATGACCCTATTTCATGTATAAAATGGGCTCTTTAAGTTAATGTAACACATTTAAGTGGATAGAACATCAAACAATTAAGTTGTCCCAAAACAATCTCAAGAATTGTGTTGTTTTAGCTTATTTTTTTAAGTAGTAAGAACAAGCAGCAAGTTTGAGTTAGGGCTGGGTGATATGGCAAAAAGGCAATCTTGATAATTATTTTCCTTATTGAACGATAATGATATGCATTTCGATATAAGTTGTTAATGCTTCCAGATTTAGAAGAGTACCCCAACAATTACCGAAGCCACAAAAATTAGAGGGTCTATTAAATGGCATAACGTATTTTTGGTTGATAAATTTTCGGTGGCTGAAAATTCGGAGCATCTCTAATATCAACACACTTCTATATTACCATTTCTGCTGTGTGATTGGCTCTAAAATCAATAGAGAGTAAAAAAAAAAGTCCAGATCTTATCACTACAACCCTTTCACACATACATACCTCTCCGGAAAATTAGTTCTGGCTATTTTCCGGAAAGAGAAGTTTTAGAGAACATTAGCGGTAATCTGCCAGAATGTTGCGCTGTGTGAACAAGGAGAAGGAGAAGGAAGACTGCCGGAAAGAGCGCGTGCACGTCTAGAACGTACTGACGTGAGACGTCTACTTTAGCCAATCAGAACAGTCAGACGCATTCAAAAATTCCGTAATGCTCTCACCTGAGTGAACAGCGCTTTTTTAAATTTACCGGTAAAGTTGTTCTGTAAATTTTCAGGATATTTACAGGTATCACTGTGTGAAAGGGGCTACTGTTGTTGACATAAATTTTATCACGATTTAATATATCATTAATCGGCCCAGTCCTAGTTTAAGCATGGTTGTTGTATCAAAAAACAACTTCTCTGACACTCATATTGATGGACTTTTTAAATGGGATATATTATAAAAATGTTTAAGAGTATTAACATGATCAATATTATTATTATAGAATTTTTCACTCTGTGAAAGTTGCTGAAAACTTGTTAAGTATTCACTATAAAAGATGTTTAAGAGCTGAACTTACATTATAACATATACTTTTATAACACATTTTCTTTAAATGAGCTAAAAATGTATATTTATCGCACGCATGTTTCATTAATGTAAAAGAGCTGAACTGTAATACATACTATTATTGTAATAAAACAGTTTTAAGCTTCAAGTACATTTTAACAACTAAAAGTGGGAAATATTTTAGAACAAAACACATCTTTAAATCAATTTTAAAATAATATATTTAATAAAATGTTGGAGTTTATTTGAACAAAATGTAACATTAATGAACAACATTATTATTAAGATGTTTGAAATATGTACTTCAAAATTTTAAAATAAAATAACTACTTATTTCTTTGTAAATTAACTGAACATGTTAATATTGGATAAGATTTAATCATAATAAAATGTTTAAAAAAACCTTAAAAGAATCACAGAGAACATCAGAAGAGAAGCATAATAAAATAGTTTTATTCCCATTTGATTTTTTAATGAGCTTAAAGGAAATACTAATATTTTATAACATAAATAATATGTTTATAAGTTAAACTGACCATTCCCACTATCTAATCCCCAAACTAAAATTCCCAAAGCCTGCATTCTTTAAATTCCCAGACATAAACATGCCTGTGTATTGCTGCACTAAATATTGATTTCAAAGCACACATAACAAAAATCAATCTTCTGCAGTATTTCAGGTATTTACATGTCATATTTGCTGATCAAAAGCATGACTGATTCAGCATTGACTTACAATATTGTGCATCTTGTTCAAACTACTTATTTAGAATGAGCTAAATCTGCACAATTCTTGAGATTTTTCCGGGACAACGTAATTGCTTTATGTTCAATCCGTTTAAATTTAAGTTAACTTAATCAATCTGTGTTGGGACAAATGGATTTTGTAGAACCCTGAATTTTTTTTTTACAGTGCATTTACGTAATGCATGTTACTAAAAGTGTCACTTTATAACTTCTTCATCATCTAAACAGACATTAGGAGAACTGTAAACATGCAGACTGAGCTAAAGCTGTTCGCATTTGAACACTGACAACTAAACTGAAAAAAATTATTCAAAGATGATTCCTTGGATTTACTAAATTTTTTTACGTTAAGTGGTTGCAAACAATTTATTTGGGCTGAATTTAAACAAACAAATTAAGTTGAACATTATTACACTTAATTTGAATGTTTAAATTCAACACAAATAAATTGTTTGCAACAGTTCTGCATGCAACACTTTTTTCAGTACTCTGATAGTACTACTTCCCACTTTCATCACAGCGACGACTGTTTTGTGTGCGTTTACATCTGGAAGATGTATTTATTACATCTGAATTATGTCTATTATAGGTCTCGTTTTAGATGTCGATTAGAAGTGTGGAAAACATCTTTAAGATGTTTATGATTCAGCAAATATGTTTGCTAAATACACCTTCTAATGACATTTATCAAATCTTTTCACACAGCAGAAGATATTCAGACCAAACGATCTTTAAAATACTGTTGAAACCAGACGTTTACATACACTAAAAAAGGCACATAAGCTTTAAAAAAAAATTGTCAGATATTAATGTGACTAAACTTTTTCTCTTTTAGGTAATTTAGGATTATCAAATGTGTTTCTGTTCTGCTTAATAGCAGAATAACGAGAGAGATATTTTTGAGAAATTGTTATAACTTTTCTTGAAAGTCAAGTTTACATACAATAAGATTATTGTGCCTCTGAAAAAGCTCAGATGATGCTGTCAAGGGTTTGGAAGTTTCTGATTGGCTAATTGACAACCTCTGAGTTAATTGGAGGCACAACTGTAGAATAGTGTTTAAGGAAAACCGCAAGCACACTGCTTTTTTGTGTGACAACATGGGAAAATCAACAAGCCAGAATCAATAAAAATGCCAGATCACAATTTGCTAAATTACACTGGGAAAAAGAATAATTGTTGGAGACATGTCCTGTGGTCTGATGGAGCTAAGATTGAACTGTTTAGCCATAATGACCAGTGTTACATTTGGAGGGCAAAGGGAAAAGCTTACAAGCCTAGGAACACCATCCCAACTGTGAAGTATGGGGACGGCAGCATCATGTTGTGGGGCTGTTTTGCTGCAGGAGGTACTGGTCCACTTCACAGCATAGATGGCATCATGAGGAAAGAACATTATGGAGAAATAGTGAAGCAAAATCTCAAGACATCAGCCAGGAAATGAAAACTTGGCCACAAATGGGTCTGCCAAACAGACCATGACCCTAAGCATACTGCCAAATTAGTTCAAATGTGCTTTAAGGACATCAGAGTGAATGTTTTGGATTGGCCATCACAAAGCCCTGAAGTCAATCCTATGGAAATTTTGTGGGCAGAGTTGAAAAAGCTTGTGCGAGCAAGACAGCCAACAAATCTGACTCAGTTACACCAATTCTGTCAGGAGTAATGGGATAAAATTCCATAGAGGTAAAGTTGGTTTTATATTCGCACATTCAGACTTTCCCCTTAATAATTTAATTTCATAAAAGTATTATTTGCAAACTCTAAACAGTGAAATCATATTAGCAGCCAATGACTATCAAAGTAAAACATTGGTCACAATCAAATAAACTGTATTAATGTTGTTTTCAAGTCATACTTGCATGCTAATTCCGATCGAAAATTCAAAGTAACATGGTAAACTATATATAGACTTTTAAATGAACGAATGTGTGAATATAAAACCAACTTTACCTCTATTAAAATTCCTACAAACTATTGTGAGAAACTTGTGGAAGGATACCCAAAACATTTGACCAAAGTTATACAGTTTAAAAGCAAAGCTAAAAAAAAAATACCAAGAAAATGTATGTAAACTTTTGACTGTCTAGAAATTAATAACAAATTCTATCATTATTCTGGCATTGAGCAAATGTAAATTATTTAGGTAGTCTAAACAGACCTAAAATAGTTAAGGTCTAGTATGATTTACCGTCAGACAGGTAAAAAAAAGGTTAGGTTGCTTTTCTTAGAGTGTATGTAAACTTCTGGTTTTAACTGCATGTCTTGCAGACATACATGTGTTGCTTATCATGCTGCTACTTTGAATAAAAATGACATGCATGCATGACTTCAAAACAACATTAGCACTATTTAATTGACTGTAAACGATGTTGTTTTGATATGCTGATATGCTGAAATAGTATTTCCCTATTCAGAATTTACAAATAATACTTTTAAAATTTAGATTATTAAGGAGAAAGTCTGAATGTACGAATATAAAACCAACTTTAAGTGACTCCAATCACTGTAAGTCAGCGTTATTGATCATTCTCTCCCTCTTTTACCTGCTGACTCGCCAGTGTTGATCCAGTCTGGGTTGGCAATGCTGGCGATGGCGAAAATATCCGCAGCCAGAAAGAGACATCCTGAAATAATGGTGAGTTTATCCATCTCAGGTAACCTGGACTCTTGACATGCGATGAAGAACTGAGCTAGTCTCTGTCTCTATGTGTTTGTGTATCAAAGAAGTCAGTAAACAGGGCTGGACGGCATGATATGCTAGCTTTGATATGGCTAGAAGTCCAGCAGCCTCCAGGGCCAAAACAAACCCTCTGAAGATGAGGATCTGCCCCTGATCTTCCTCATAAGAAGAGCTCCTCCATCATCATCATCATCATATGGTGACTGCGCTCTTCTTCGTTTAATGCTAACAGGCTACAGATGCTCTCGGTGTGTTTGGCATCCGGAGGCCGCTCCACAAATCCATCAGGAAGACAAGTCCTCGACTGCGGGAGTCAAACGCGTGTAATCAGCGGTAACGGAGTGGTTTTGTGGCCGCTTTTAGTCGACGGTGTTGTGGTCCATCTTTCTGCTCAGCTGCGCGCGCATCTGCACGACGATCTGCCGAGCGCGAGCACAGCAGCAGCGCCGCCGCATCAGCCTCATCCCCGAAAACCCGGGCAAACCCTGCCGGAGAACCGCGGCGGTGTGTGGAGAAGCGAGCGGAGGACGCGGCGGGAGCATGAGAAGCGGCGGAGGAAACGCAGCTCTCGCGTCTTTCCCGATGACATCAAGCGAAAACCCCCACGCAGCGACGGTCCACCGTCAGACACAACAGGCCTGCGAGATCTCGCACTGATGCTCTCGCGAGACCCCCGCGGTTAAAGGGGTCTGTGTGTGCGTTTTTATCTCTCTCTCTCTCTCTTTCTCTCTCTCTCTTTCTCTCTCTCTCTACACACACACACACACACACACACACACACCTTTAAACTTGTTTCATTGACATGACAAAAAGCATTTGTGATTATGTTTACGTTAAGCAGAACATAGTAAACAAATAACAGAGTAAACAAACAAACAAAAAAAAAAACAATAACAGTTCATTTAACAATCAACAATTTTGGATAAAACAATAATAATAAATAATAAAAACATTATTCTTAACAATCAAAATATTGAATTACAATTACAAACAATAATAAAACACAATGTTAATAAACAATAGGAGCTTCACGGTGGCTCAGTGGTTAGCACTGTCGCCTCACAGAAAGAAGGTCACTGGTTCGAGTCTCAGCTTTTCTCCGTGTTAGTGTGGGTGTCCTCCGGGTGCTTCGGTTTCCCCCACAGTCCAAAGACATGCGCTATGGGTGAATTGAATAAACTAAATTGGCTGTAGTGTATAAGTGTGTGAATGCAAGAATGTATGGGTGTTTCCCAGTGTTGGGTTGCAGCTGGAAAGGCATTTGCTGTTTAAAATATATGCTGGATACGTTGGTGGTTCATTTTGCTGTGGCGACCCCTGATTATTAAAGGGGCTAAGCTGAAAAGAAAATCAGGGGAGAATGGCCTTAGTCAGGGAGCTGGTCAATAACCCGATGGTCACTCTGTCTGAGCTCCAGCGTTCTTCTGTGGAGAGAGGAGAACCTTACAGGAGGACAACCATCTGTGCAGCAATCCACCAATCAGGCCTGTATTGTAGAGTGGCCAGACGGAAGACACTCCCCGCCTGGAGTTTGCTAAAAGGCATCTGAAGGACTCTCAGACCATAAGAAGCTAAATTCTCTCCTCTGATGAGACTCAAATTGAACTCTTTGGAGTGAATGCCAGGCATTACATTTGGAGAAAAACAGGCAGCGCTCATCACCAGGCTAATATCATCCCTACAGTAAAGCATGATGGTGGCAGCTTCACAACAACTCAGTGAATGTCCTTGAGTGGCCCAGCCAAAGCCCAGATCTAAATCCTATTAAACATCCCTGGAAATGGATCAACGAATTGAAAGAAAATAAAAATGTATGCAGAATATTTATCAAAGCACACATTTTACCTGCTTTCTTATTATTAGACAATGAAATGCTATTTAACAACAGTCCCAGTTCTGGTTTAAAAATCGTAAAATGGACTTTACATTTAGTATGTTTATATTTACATGTGTTACAACAAATAAAGCATGAGATTTATACAGAAACTTGTATTAATGATGTTTTTCTTTAGCATTAAATTATGTCTCAGACAAAATATTTATAGCAAATAGGTTTTTATGAAGAAGGAAAGTATGTTTATTTATTGTTTATTTAATAGAGACAGCAAAATGGGATATGGCAGGCATGAAAAAATATCTGTTTTCCATATGTTATAATTTGTGTTTCTTTAGTTTCTTTAGTTTTGATTTCATCATTTATTTACTCGTTTGAATGGCATTATGGGATTTTGATCTTTCCTTCAACAACTTTTAATGTATTTTAAAACTTTGATGGACATTTTTAATAGTTTGAAATGATATTGTCTGAGTTGTTGTTGTAAATTACGTTAAAATGCCAGTACTTTCCTGTTATTTTACAGGCTTAATTCTCTCTGTATATTATTTCTTATGCAATATATTGTTTCAAACTTCTAAAATGTCAGTAAAAGTCAGTTTGTTAGACTGTAGAGTTGTAATTTTAACATCAAAAGTGGAGATGAAAGGTAAAATCATGCAATTAATCACCGTGAATAAACAGAAAAAACCTGTAAAAATATGAAAAATGTTCATTAGAAGATATTATTTACAGCGTAGGGTTGACAGAAACGGATCCTAAACTGTTGTTTTTGTGTTTGGTGGCAACAAGATGAGAATACTATTTGCATTTTAGCCTTGCAAATAATGGTTTCGGGAAAGTTTGTTTATTAATAAGGCTCTATGCTGTATATAATTTATTTATATATGTATCTTTGTATGGCATTTAAATGTATTTAGATTTCATTTTTTAAATCAGAATGTATGAAGTTATTAAATTAAAGTGTTATTAAACCTCTCTCTCTCTCTCTCTCTCTATTATGTGTGTAGTGTCTGTGTGTGTTTGTGTGAGATTGTGTGTGTGTGGTTGTGTGTGATTGTGTGTGTGGGTGGGCATCATGAGTGCGCCTATTATTACCCACTTCATGCCCACACTAATCCTAAAATACATCGCTGACATAGATGAACTATTAATGTGTTATGTAACATAAAGAAAAAAAACAATATCAGATAAATAATATAGGCTACCGGCCATTACAAATGCCATTTTAACCATTAAAAGCAGTACATTTGTATTGTTTCTAGTAAGAATGCACTGATGTATAATATTTATTGACCGAAATTGGATCAGTTTAAAGGGGTCCTGTTATGTCCCGTTTTACAAGATATAAAATAAGTCTCTGATGTCCCTAGAGTGTGTGCGTGTGTGTGTGCGCGTGTGTGTGTGTGTTTGGTTTGTAAAGTTTCAGCTCAAAATACCCCATACATAATGTTTGGTCATGATACATTTTAATCAAAACAATCTTCTTTTTTTCCACTTCCAAGTAAATAAATACATGGTCACAATTGTATTGAACAAAACGTGTATTGTACATTCTACTACAGTCATACAGCAGCTGTGAGTTAACTTTCTGAAGGCGAGACAGAGACACCCTGTGGAGAAAACAGAAAGTGCACTTGCTCTGGTAAAGGATTGTTTTATAAAGTAATAATCAAATGAATTAAATCAAATAAGAACATTCAGGAGTGTGTGCTGGCTTTTGGGGTCCAGGGATGGGCAGTATTTCTGATAATTGTATTTCAAATATGTATTTTAAATACAAATTAGTATTTTGTAATATGTATTTTATAGAGTTTATGAAAATGTCTTAATATTTTGCATCACAAAATACTTTAATATCTTGTATTTTTGTATTTTTAAAATACTGTAAAACACTTTGTAAGAAGTCTACATTGGTGCTTCTTTATTTGCCAAGGCTTGGGATCAGACTAGAAATTTGAAGAGCACTGAAGAAGTTGATTAATGCTTGGAGTATAGATGGAAATTATCATCACGTATAAAGAAAGTTAGAGACAGATAGTGGGGGTAGATTCGGGAGCAAGTCAAACTAAGACTGGAAAATAAGACACTATAACATTGTAATTACTATGCTATTACAATATAATTACCATGCAATGACATAATAATTAGATTTTTATAAGAATGACTTTAAATAGTAATTATAATATTATAAAAGTGTGATTACAATGCTATAGCAATGTAATTATAATTGTATTACATAGTATAATGTAATGACATAGTAGTTACAAGGTTATAGCCATGTTATTACAATGTTATAACACAGTAAATATAATGTAATTACAAGGTTAAAACAATGCAATTACAGTGCTAATGCATAGTAAATATAATGTAAAATAATAGTAAATACTAAAGTAAATACAATGTTATAGGAATGTAAATGCAATGTTATTACCTAGTAAATATAATGTAATGATATAGTGGTTCAAATGTTATGACAATATAATAACAATGTAATTACAATGTAAAAACAATGTAGTTAAATGTTATAGCCATGCAATTACAATGGTAATGCATAGTAAATACAATGTAATGACATAGTAAATATAATGTGTTGACATAGTAAATACAAGGTTAATTCCATTACAATGTTATTAGATAGTACTAGCAATGTTATAACAATGTAATTGCAATGTTGATACACAGTAAATGTAATGCTATGAAAAACGTTGATAACAATGTTATAAAACCGCAATTACAATGTTATTACATAGTAGATATAATCTAATGACACAATAATAGCGATGTCATAACAATGTAATAACAACGTTATAACAATGTAATTATAATGTTATAACATAGTAATGCATAGTGGTAAGACTGTTATAACAATGTAATTATAATGCTATAGCCATGTAATTACAATGTTATTACATTGTAATTATAATGTTACGACATAGTAATTACAAAGTTAAATGCACTTACAATTTTATAACAGTAAATATAATGGCATAGTAACTAAATGTAATAACACTGTAATTACAATGTTTTAACAATGTAATTACAATGTTATTACAAAGTAAATCAATGTAATGAAGACTGCATTTGGTATTTTATTTTAAAAGACATTTCAGTGTACTTTTGCCCATTTCTGTTGGGGACAATAGGAAAATAAAAAGTAAAAATAACAAATCACATTCATTCATTCATTTTCCAGTCCTTTTATTCATCAGGGGTCACCACAGCGGAATGAACCGCCAACTTATCCAACATATACACAGCGAATGCCCTTCCAGCTGCAACCCAAAACTGGGAAACATCCAAATATCCATACACACACATTCAAACACATACACTACAGCCAATTTAGTTCATCCAATTCACCTATAACACGTCTTTCACCTGGAGGAAACTTACGCCAACAAGGGGAGAACATGCAAACTGCACACAGAGATGCCAAATGACCCAGCCGGGACTCAAATCAGCAACCTTCTTACTGTGAGGGGACAATGCTAACCACTCAGCCTCAAACAAGAAAGAGCGAAACAGTAAAGCTGTTGTTGTGGTGGTGGCTCAACCGCGCCCTCTGCTGTTACTCTTCCTGCACTGTTTGTTTTGGTGACGTCAAATCATGGCGCGGTACCTCCTGTCTCAAAGCTGCAAGTTTCGATTCTTTCACGCACACAAGAGCAGTCAGCGACTCAGCAGAAGGAGATGTTGTGGATTTACTGATTTGACTCCTAATGTGACACACGACAGACAGAATCAGCGTTTCACAATAACTCTAAACTGCGACGGTAAGAGAAAAGACCCGTCATTTTGTCTCTTTCTGACCATCACAACAGCTGATTCACAACACGCTGTAGCTTCATAAAAACGCTGGGCGAGTTCATTAG